TTGAAAACATTCTCTGTTGTTACTAAATTATTAAAAGCACAGTATAATTTTAAAGAAATAAAAACTCAAACTCATTCAAAACATTACACCAAAATACAGAAATTTTATATTATTACTCAAATGAATTTATTTATGTCTAAAGGGAAAAATATTTAGATTAGAGGTTTTTCTGGTACTACATTTATTTATGGTGACTTGGATTTCATTTAAGAAAATGTTTCCACTTGCATATCAAAAATTTCATTACAGAGCTGAGAGATGACTCAGCAGTTAACAGCACTTGTGGCTCTTCCAAAGGACCTGAGTTCAAGTCCCAGCAACTATCAGGTAGCTCACAACAGCATGCAACTTGAGCTCCTGGGGAGTCTGATATCTCTGGTCTCCAATGGGAATTTGCACTCACTCACACATACATATTCACCCACAGACACACAATTAAAAATAAAAATAATCGCTGGGCGTGATGGCGCATGCCTGTAGTCCCAGCACTGTGAGTTCAAGGCCAGCCTGGTCTACATAGTAAGTTCTAGGACAGTTGGGGCTACAGGGAGACCTTGTCTCAGAAAGACTAAAAACAAAAACAAAAACAAAACAAAACAACAAAAAAAAAGTGGTGCCTTTGGTTGTCAAATTGATGAGGTACACTTCTGATGATTACCATTGTCAGTTTGACAGAATCTTCCATCACCAAGGAGATAAGCTTTTGGGCATGTTTATGAGGGATTTTGTTGATTAGATGGAGTGGGAAGAGGCACCCTAACTGTAGGTGGCACCATTACAAGGGTTGGGGCTCCAGTATGAACAAAAAGGGGAAAGCAAGCTGACTGTCAACATTCCTTGCTCTGTTTCCTGACTGCAGATGGAATGTGACAGGCAGTCTGCTGCCATGAATTCCCCACACCATAGCAAACTGTACATTCAAACGGTAAGCCAAAATAAACTCCTTTCACCTTTTAATTTCATTTGTCAGATACTTTGTCACAGTAGTAAGTAGCACACAGTGCTCAATTATATATGCTTTAAGTTTTTGTTTTTTTTTTAACTAAAATAAGGACTATGGCTTGAAAGAAAGTTTTGGACCAAATTCTGTGAGGCGTCAGTTAACAATTTAAAGCAAAAGATAAAAACAATTAGACAGGTACTTCAGAAAGTAATTTTAGTAGCAGTAGTAAAGAAAAAGACCAGTTGAGGCAGGTTAGTAACCTCTGAAGCAGTAAAATGGATAAACTGTGTTAATATGTTAACTGAAAAGTAAAATGGTACCTGAAACAAAATGTAACCAATTAATCTGGGTATTATAGGTATTGTTATTTTTATTACTGCTATCTAAGTTCAGAAAAAAGATACTAAGCATCTGAGCAAGGTCCTAGACACAGAGTATGAAGCTAATTTGAAGAGAAGCCTAACTGGTTTTCAATTGGGGTTAAGAGTGGAATAACAAAGGAAACTGCACAGTCACCTCTCTGACTGGCTTTAGTCTAATTGCTTCCAAGTAAGGGCCTCTCAAAAGCTGTATTTTAGGGTTGAAGAGATGGCTCAGAGGGTCAAAGTGCTTGCTGAACATGCCTAACAACCTGAGTTTGAGCTCCATAATCCACATAAAAAAGGATGGGAGTCTGTTGTCTGTAATCCCAGCACGCCTATGGCTGAGATAGGAAGTGTAGACAGGAGAACGGGCCTGAAATGTGAAGGGAGCCAGCTAGCCTGGTACACACAGTGCAAAGACAGCAAGAAAGACCAAAACAAGGTGGAAGGAGAGAACTGATATCCCAAAAGCTGTCCTCTGACTTACACGTCAGTGCCACAGCACATGCACGCCCACACTCACAAACATCTCAAACACACACACACACACACACACACACACACGATTTCTTTTTTAGGGAGTCTTTTTGAGACAGGGTCTCCCTGTAGCCCCAGCTGTCCTGGAAGTCACTATGTAGACCAGGCTGGCCTTAACTCACAGAGATCCGCCTGCCTCTGCCTCCTGAGTGCTGGGATTAAAGGCGTGTGCCACCACAGCTGGCTTTAATTTCTTTAAAAAGTTGTATTTCAGGGGCTGGAGAGATGGCTCAGCATCAACATGGTGGCTAACACCACTCTGTAACTCTAGTTCCACGAGATTAAAAGCCCACTTCTCCTAGGCGCACGCCTTTAGTCCCAGCACATGGGAGGCAGAAGCAGGCGGATCTTTGTGAGTTCGAGGCCAGCCTGGTCTACATAGTGAGTTCCAGGACAGCTGGGGCTACAAGGAGACCCTGTCTCAAAAAGACAAGACAAAAAAAAAAAAAGCCCACTTCTGTCCTCAACGGGAATTGCATGACATGGGTGCACTTGCATACACGCAGGTATAACACTCACACACATAAGATAAAAATAAATATTTTTTTAAAAGCTATATCTGGGAATGGAGAGATGGCTCAGCGTTCAAGAACACCAGCAGCTCTTGAAGAATCTTGTATGATTCCCAGCACCCTCATGGCAGCTAACAACCATCCTTAACTCCAGTTCCAGGGGATCCAACACCCTCGTCTGACCTCCACAGACACTGCACAGCATGGGTGCACTTACATGTATGTAGGCAATATACTCATACACATAAAATAAAAATTAATAAATATTTAAAAAGCTATATTTTAGCTAGTATGTTCTAATTTAGGTATGGATAAGTGAAATATATTTCCTGGAGCCTTAAGTCTGGACCTGGACACTGGGCATGCTGATGCATGCCTTTAATCCCAGCCCTCGGGAGGCAGGAGCAGGCAGATATCTGAGAGACTGAGGCCAGCCTGGTCCACATAGTGACTTCCAGGTAGGCTAGGTCAAAATAAAAAAAATTGAAGCTGGCATGTTCTCTCTTATTTGTGGATCCAAGCTCCAAAGCTCCAATCTTTAGAAACAAGTAAAAAACCTCCACTAACTGCCAAATCCAGGAAAGCAGAAAGAGAACACAGAAGGGGGTGGGGAGCAGAAGGAGCTCTAGAAAGCAAGACAGTATGACACAGGTGCCATCAAGGGGGAAATGGGAAATATGGAGGAGGGCTTTACCTGAGGAGGGGGGTAATACAGAGGGAAAAGGAGGAACAAGAGATAAATCACACCAAGGACGTTTAGGAAATGTTAAAATCATACTTAATAATTCATATGCAACATATACATATATTTCAAGTGGAGTTATACCACATGGGATGCTAATGCTCCCCCTAAGAATCAAAGATTAACAAGACCCCCAGTGCCAGGCCTAGGAAACCTCTCTTTGAGTTGTTGCCCAGGGTAGTTAAAGAGAATTGACTCTCAAAACAATATAGGCTAGTGCCATTGCCCTTGGTTGCCTCCCAGAACTTTAAGGTTAAGAATCTATTGCTGAAGACACCACATTTCAGACACAGGACTTAGAAGAATCAAGCTGGAACTGACCTGGAAGTTTCCTCCCTGAGGGCTGGCTCTTATAGTACTGGAAGGTGCTATGCAAAGTACCAAGGGGAAACAAAAAAAAAACCCCAATCAATAGTCCCACCCAGCTGTAAAGCCTGAGAACCAAATAATGACCAATCTGACAAGATGTACCTAATGATGCAATAGTAGCACTTTTGTCTTGGGAGTAACCAGCAGCTATCTAACTGGGCTTAAGGCCCACTCAAAAGGAGAGAATCACACCTACTACTGTAAACATCCCCAGATTCCCATGGCCGGAGAGGTCATAGACCCTAGAGGAGAACCTACTATTGCCATTTTCTAAAACCAATAATTTGTAACTGAATTCTAAATAATTATCCTTATACCCACAGATATGTTTATCTCTCACCCCTCATCAAAAAAGCTTCTTTCTGCAGCAGAGCTACTAAAAAGATCCACAACTAGTTTAAACACAGAGAATAACTGACCATGACCTACATAATGACATCAGCTAACCTGCCAATATGGTTGGGAAAAATTTTACAAGGAGAATCAGTTTTTTGCAGGGATGAGCTTCCTGATAACCCAAGTGCTCACACCTAAACACATGTAAACACATCACTACTAAATGAACTCCATAGGCTGCTTATACATACACACACATACATCTAGTGTGTATATATGTATACATAGATACACATATATATACACACACACACACTATATATTGTGTTGGTATAACAACAATAATTAAAGACAAACTCAGGATACTGAAAGGGAGTTGGGGGAATATGGGAGGAGTTAGAGGAGGGAAAGGGAGGGGTAAAAATGAATACAATACTCACTTATGAAATTCTCAAAAAATTTTTAAAAAAAAATGGAGGCTGGAGAGATAACTTAAAAGTGCCGACTGCTCTTTCAGAGAATTCAAGTTCAGTTCCCAGCACCCACGATAAGTGGCTCACAATTATCTGTAACTCTAGCACCAGGAGATATGATGCTCTCGTCTGGCTTACAATCACACAGACACCCAGTACACACATATAACACAAACATAAATAAAAACAATAAAAGTAAATCTTTAAAATTATACAGATAGGAAATTTTTGCTAAGATTATGCAAATAGCACCGTTCCCCCTTATGACTCTTGCAACTTTCCTAGGTTCTATAAGTGAGGAAAAAGTCTGAAAAGGGGGCTGGAGAAGAGTGAAGTGGTTAAGAACACTGACTAGTCTTGCAGAAGACACGGGTTCGAATCCCAGCACCCACATGGCAACTAACAACTGTCCATAACTCCAGTTCCAAGGGATCCGACAGTCTCTTCTGACCTCTGTGGGCACTACATGACACAGGTGCACTTACCTATATGCAGGCAATACACGCACACACATAAAAATAATAAAATATTTTAAAAAGTCGGAAAAGAGGAGCACAGTCTTACACATACATACACAGACACACAGACACACACCCCTTTTCTCTATCATGCTGCAGCAGTGCTGTAGAGGTCACAGTATGCGGGGCAGTGCTAGCCATGAGGAAAGGAGACAGCAATAAACGATATAAATACTTAGGGCTGGAGAGATGGCTCAGTGATTAAGAACATTGAATGTTCTTGCAAAAGGCCCGGGTTCAAATCCCAGCACCGACATGGCAGCTAACAACTGTCCATAACTATACTTCTAGGGGATCTGAAACCTTCTAACCTCTGTGGGCATTACACAACACGGGTGCACCTCCATACGTGCAGGCAATACACACATAACATAAAAATAATAAAATATTTAAAAAATATATAGATACAATGTATGGAGTTTATACTTACTTAGGACAGACAATAAATATATTAGGAGTTGGTATCTACAACACATGAGCCAAGCTTGCTTATATTTCTAAATAGTTTATAGCCATGCCCATTTTACACACTGTCTATGGCTGCTTTGGACTTGACAGAAAAGTTGTCAACCTCTAGAGCAGATTTCATTAACTGGAACTGTGATAAATGTGACAAAGAATCTAGTTCCTATGAAGCAGTGAAGGGATCCTGCTGAAAAGTATGAAAGATGAGCAGGGCAAAGAAAGAGTCCCAAAGCAAGGCTAGATGGGACGAGGCATGGACGACCTCAGGGATGAAGGCACAGTGCACTCCAGAAATCAATAGGACATCAGTGTGACACAAAAACAGTATAAATTGTCAGAGCTGTAAGAGGACAACAGTAGGGCAGGCAGGGATTAGACATTTAGGGAATTTATAGGCTATAACCCATATTTTATATCTTCAACCAAAGATCAATAACAAACAATCAAAAACAGGTGAAGAATTACATGTGTAGATGTGTGCTTTAAAAAGATTTCACTTTGGGGGCTGAGAGAGATGGCTCAGCAGTTAAGAGCACTGACTGCCCTTGCAGAGGACCTGGGTTCGATTCCCAGCACCCACATGGCGCCTACAAACCATCCTTAACTTCAGTTCCAGGGGAATCCAAAACCCTCTTCTGACCTCTGCGACACTGCATGACACGGGTGTACTTACTTACAATGCAGGCAATATATTCATACACATGAAATAAAAATAAATAAAATATTTTAAAAAAAGGTTTCATTATTTTGTGAGAAGTTAACAGTACTGTTCCCCAACAGTATCTGTAAGTAGTTTCGAGGATCTAAAAGGATGTGATGATTGCTTAAACTAAAAGGATAGAGAGAACAAAGAGTGAAAGATCTAGGAAGCGGAAATAGCAGAAATTAGTGAAGAATTATGCAGGAAGAGCTGAAGGGACAAGAGTGGACAAAGAAGATTCTTATAACATGTCTGCATAACTGGCTTAACAGGGCAAAGAGGGAGAAAAAAAATGGAAGAAAGATCAGGCTACAATATGGGAGAAGAAAATTAGTTTAGCAAGTATAAAATATCTAAAAACAAATGGAGATGCCCACTAAGAAAAAATGACATGCATGCCAGTTGTTTAATAGAAAGTCTGAGATAATTTTTGGTGAGTTTTGATCAAGATTATGATTAACCAGACTGACTAGAGCTTCTATCATATTTACTTTTATGTCCACAGGTCATGGACATATAAGCAGCAGTAACTTGCAGAAAAAGAGAAGACACAGAAAATGTCAAAAGAGCAAAAGTCCAAAAAAGAAAATGTGTCTATAGTAACGGTTTGCTGAGATGTTGTAGATACGGTCAAGGGAGCCTCAGCAAATCAGATAAAAGCAAAGAGGAGTGCTTTCATTCTGTACGGGCAGGAGAAACACGACTCCAGCTACAGAACAGTCTCAGAATATACCCTTTACATATTAAGTTGCACCTACATTAATCTCCTGGATTTAAAAAAAGGCTATTTTAGCTGGGCATGGTGGCGCATGCCTTTAATCCCAGCACTCAGGAGGCAGAGGCAGGTGGATCTCTGTGAGTTCAAGGCTAGCCTGGTCTACATAGTGAGTTCCAGGACAGCTGGGGCTACAGGGAGACCCTGTCTCAAAAAAGATGAAAAAAAAAAAAAAAAGGCTATTTTACAACCTAAGATACTTAATCTTTGAACTATCACAAATGTTAACACTATATGTGACATACAACAATCAAAGGTTAAACCTACATGAAAGACATTTCTCTGGACTTACTTTTCGAGCTCTTCCTGAGAATGGGCAAATGTACAATTTGTTCCTCGTGGACAGCCCCCTTGCTGTCGCAAATCTCGGCACATGCTAGTTTTGTATTTGCTGTTTGGTTGAGGCTACACAAAGAGTTGAATAAATGGAAAAATGAAGGTATCAGTTATTATTTACTCTTGAAACTTTAGAACTTAATAATCATACCACAAAAGGTGAAATCTTTTTCACATTTTCACATTAAGTAAGTAATTCTTATGCTGAAACAACAAGCATTGCACAGTCTCCATTTGCGAGTTTGGCACAGCTATGAGGAAAACCACGAGGGAGAGCATGATGTAGTCTTTCTGAAGGCTATCTCAAACTGGCTCAAATGTTTTATGTATTTATCACCAGACACAATTTTCATGGAAAAAGACACTTCTCATTGATTTATTGCTATCTTCAAATTGTGATAACAAATGAAACAATTTTAAAAACACTAAGAAAAAAAACTATCATCTTTACCCATTTAAACTGCCCCAGTGAAAGTAGAAGTGAAAAATTACCAATTCACTAATTAATCTGATGGCACATCTCTACCCTTAGGCAAATAATGAGGGAAATATGAATATTCATCATAATTGCTATAAAGTGTCAAACTCTAAGACACTGACCTTTTTGTGACCCTAATAAAATAGGCACACATACAATGAACCCTAATAAAACGGGCAAACATACAATGTCATCATTCAGTTGACAGCTGAATATTATATTTTCTCAATCAAATAAGGAAAGAAGCATAGAGTAGCTCTGATCCCAGTTCTGCCAAATATTGACAGCACATTCTCAGATATGCTATTTAACCTATTTAAATTTCAGCTTTGGAACAGCAATTACCTTCCAGGTAACTGTGAGGATTAGAAATAAAAAATGTGAAATATTTTACATAGGGAGTGGCCCATAATAACAAGGGAAAAATTATTTGAATAAAAGATTATATATTAACTTTCCTTCTTCAGGTACATTAAAAATATTGAGGAAATTGAAATTCCATACTCATTACAAACAGAAATTCACTTGAGAGATAGCAAAGGAGAAAAAAATTTCTACAGTAGAAAAGAACTGAACAAACCATGTGGAAGAATCAATGAACTATACTTGGTCAAAAATATTTTGAAATTCAGTGAATTTCAGTGAAATTCAGTGAATGGCCAAGATACCCTCTAAAATCCTGTTATACCGTGAAAGGCTAATCAAGTACACTCAAAAGTAAGTTTCTCCTAAAAGATGAGAAACAATAAAAACGTGTAAGAAGGCTGGGGCATGTAGCTCAGTGGCATAGTTCAAGCTGGCAGGTATGAGGCCCTGGGTTCAATCCCCACAACACACACCTGCATACCTTATTAGAGAAAAGAGTTACATAAGAAGTCTATTATCCAAACAAATTAAGATGTTCAGGATAAAATTGAGTTAGAGATAACAACAATCAAAAGTGTAATAAATCTACTTACCTGGGGTGTCTCATGGCCTTTTCTACTGTAATTTTGTATGAAGTCCACAAGACCATGAACCACTGTTTTAACAGCTACCATTGCATTTTCTAGCTGCTCCCAACTTGGTGAAACAGCATCTAAAGTAAGAGCCGATGGGATGGCGTGAGTGTTGGAAGGGACAATGAGTTAACAGAAGTTCTCTTGTGTTTTTTTGCCTCAAAGTTAAAGTATAAGCACTTGTGCATTTTCCCACATACCTGGATTAGGGTCTATGTTTGCAAGAAGCTCTAAATGAGGCCTCAGCCTATTTAGATTAGCCGGGTCACCTGTTCGTTGCAAAACAATTGTCAATTCCTGGACACTTTTTGCAAATGATTCTGGAGACTGTAGCTAACAAAGAGAAGAGAGAATGATTTTTACTCTGGTTTTTATGACACTCCTATATTCAAATGCTTTCCATAGATCATCTTACTACTAATAGGTTTTTAAGTGTCTTCAGATTTCGTAATAGGACGATCAATGATGAATTAAATTTTCACCTCAGAATCTGCCCTATGAAACTCATCATTAGACACTTAAAAAACATATTCATAGCCGGGCATGGTGGCGCACGCCTTTAATCCCAGCATTTGGGAGGCCGAGGCAGGCGGATCTTTGTGAGTTCAAAGCCAGCCTGGTCTACATAGTGAGTCCCAGGACAGCTGAGGCTACAGAGACACCCTGTCTCAAAAAGACCAAACAAAAAACAAAAAATATATTTATAAGCTCTATTAGTTCTCTGGGGTTAGAATGTAGATAAATTTGTCTTTATAGGCTTAACTAATTTCATGCTGTATTTTCCCCCACCATATCTCTTTAAAATAAGGAAAAGAAAAACATGCAATCTGGAAGTCTAATATTTAAAAACATGGCCATCTCTTTAGTTCCTTTAGAACAAATATGACCATGCCTCACAATGGTTCAGTTTATGAGTTTTCAACTTTATAATGCTGCAAAAGCAGTATATATTCCTTAGAAAGCATTCTAAATTTTGTTATCTAATCTTTTCAAAGGCTAGTGATATGCAAAACAGTATTCTCTCACAATGTGGGGCAATGGCACTGTGTTACAGCTCCTAATCAGTCATGTGATCTTGAGGACAAACAGCCAATACTCTACAAGTCCACAGTGGATCACAGGGCTAGGTTTCCATAGTCTCTAGGTTAGATATAATAAGTGCATTTCTACCTCAGTAGAGGAGGATTTGTGTTACAGTATTCTGTAACAGCAACGGTAAAATATTAGCATCTCTAACTCCACAAACCTTATCAATGATAGACTGCATGTGAGATTTATGAGCCAAGTCCCCATACAGCAGTGAGGACCATTGCTCGGGTGAAATACGGAGTCCTGCTTCCATAGCAATATGAACAATTTGAGCATCATGTTCTCTGCGTAGTGCCTCATAACTTCGAAATTCCTCCTTTAACTGCATCAGGGAAGAATCTTCATCCCTTTTAGTAACCTAAAAAGTAAAAAAAAGAACAAAAAATCCAACTCATTAGAATTGGTCTGCTCTTTCCCCTTATCCAATTCATTTACTTTGGTGGGTTGGGGGGGTGGGGTAAAAGGGCACCTATTATATACCTGGTATCACACAAAATAGAAAATGTCCTCAACACAAATCCTCTTTGGAACAAAATTACCTAACTACATATATAGTCCCTGTCTTCAGTGAGTTCATCAGCATTTGGCAGGGAACAGACTTAGAAACAGAAATTTATAGTAAGAGTGCTATTATCAGACTCTATGGAAACATTGACAAAAAGCAGTCAAATCCCACTAGCAAAGAGGGAAAAAAATAATTCAGAAAAGGTTTTCTCCTGACTGAAGACTATGTGAACTACATCTTGAAGAACAGGATTTCTTAAGGGAAGGAATGGAATTCTAAAAGGGCAGCCAGTGGTGAAACAGAAACATGAATGACAAGAGGCCAGAAGAAGACTTATAAGAGAGTCTCACATTCTACAGTAAATTATTTGGCTATTATAGTCAAGGGAATGAAAATCCACTGAGTTTCACAGAAAGAAGAGATATCAGATTTATGGGTGGTTTTTTTTTTTTTTTTTTCGGTCTTTTTGAGACAGGGTCTCCCTGTAGCCCCAGCTGTCCTGGAACCACTATGTAAACCAGGCTGGCCTTGAACTCACAGAGATCCGCCTGCCTCCTGAGTGCTGGATTAAAGGTGTGTGCTACCATGCCCGGCTACAGATTTATGATTTTTTTTAAATTATATTTTATATGTATGAGTGTTATGCCTGCATGTAGGTTAAGTAGGTAAGTGCACCTGTGTCGTGCAATGTCCGTGGAGGACAGAAGAGGCCGTTGGATCCCCTGGAACTGGAGTTACAGATAGTTGCTAGCTGTCCTGTGGGTGCTGGGATATGAACCCAGGTCTTCCACAAGAACAGTGTTCTTAACCGCTGAGACATCTCTCCAGGCCCTCAGATTTATGTTTTTAAAAAACACCTCTTTGTTGTTTGGAAAATTGTTTTCTACTGTTTAGTGGGGGGGGGGGGAGTCCAACTTTCTTGCTTCGTTCCAGGGAAGCAGGGGTTGAGTTCATCCCTCCTTCCTTCTCTCCCTCTGTCCAGCCATGTGTCTACCACCCACCTGTCTGTCTGTCTGTCTGTCTCACAAATTATCTTTCTTGTGAGCCAGAAGTAAGTAGGGGCAGATTAGTAATAAGTTCTTTGTTTTTTAAATTTATTTTTGGTCTCTGCAAAAGGAGATTATGTAGTTTCAGAAAGTGAAATCATGTTTCTAAGGTTAAGATTCCCACTGACTGCACCTAGAACAGTACTATGTACAGAGTGGGTGCCTGAGTTGTAGTTTTTTGTTTTTCTTTGAAAGAAGGAAGCATTATTTTAGTTATTTTTTTAAATGTGTACGAGTGTTTTGCCTGCACGCATATCTATTACATGCATGCCTGGTACCTGGGAAAGCCAAAAAAGGGTGTTGGATACCCTGAAACAGAAGGCTATTGGCCACGACGTGGGTACTGGGAACCAAGCCTGGGTCTTCTGCAAAAGCAGCCAGTGCTCCTGACTGCTCTGCCATCTTTCCAGTCTGAGATGTAGCTAAAAAAATTTTTTTTTTTAAATCTTGCACATGCGCAACATTGGGTGTGGGTTCTTGCCTTCCTCCTAGGTTTGCTTAGGCAAGAGACTATCTGGCTCATGAACATTGGAGGAGTCTCTCAACCCCCCATCTCTCTGGGATTAAACAAGTATGCTAACACACCCAGCTTTACATGTCACTGAGCCATCTGCTGAGCACCTGTGTTTTGTTCTTTTTTTTAAAGGAGTCAATGGCTACTTTTATCCATATCTTCAAGTCTTGCTTAAATGTAAATTTTTTTTAGGTATCTGAAAAATTAAGACTTCTTTTATATTAAAATAATAATAATCCCATCACATTGGTAGCAGCAGAGGATAAAGCATATATAAAAAAACCAAATCTACCAATTGAGGAGTAGGAATTTAGCTCAGTGCTTACACAGCATGTATAAGGTCAAGGACAGAGGGAAGGAAGAAGGCATATATTAGAATTGGGGGGGGCAGTAGATGGTTCATTAGGGAAGGGCAGTTGCTGCGCAACAAAGCAAGTCTGACAACTTGAGAACCCACAAAAAGGTGGGCTCCAACGCTGCAAAGTTGTCCTCTGATCTCCATATGCATGCTATTGCAAGCCCCCACACATACAGTTCATACACATGTACACATGTATACACACACACACACAGATTTTAAAAATTAAAACAATAAAATGGCTCACTGGTTAAGAGCACTTGCTGTTCTCCAGAAGATATGAGTTTGGTTCCCAGCAGCCATGTGGGGAGGCTTATAACCACCCACCTCTATCTTCAGTTCCAGGGTATTTGATGCCTGTTTCCAGACTCCTCAAGCATCATGTGGCACACATTCACACAAACATACATATATACATGAATCAAAGTAATAAAAATATTTTTTTTTTAAAGAAGGAAGAGGGGCTAGAGAGATGGCTCATTGGTTAAGAGCATGTACTATTCTTCCAGGACCTGAGTTCAGTTCCCAGAAAACATGTCAGGAAGCTCACAACAACCTAGAACTCCAGTTCCTAGGGACCTGAAAGTCTAGCTCCTGGAGGATCCTACGCCTCCAGGAGCTGTTTCAACAGGCACCTGTATTCCTATGCACAGACACACACATAAACACACAATTAAAAGAAAAAAAACTTTTAAAAAAGAGGAATTTTCTGTCACCACACAAATTATCAGAGGTACTTATATGACTTTAATTGATAAAAACATGAAGTCAAAAGAAAAATCCTCAGAATTTCACAAGAATTAGTAAAGTTGTCTAATAATCCAAACATGTAGGTTTATGGCTACATAATTTCCACAATAAATGATACACACTCATTCACAAACTACTGAAACTTGTTAAAGATTAGTAATAAAACCTGGCTAAGGTTTGTAGAGATGAGTAAGCGGGTAAAGATGCTTGCCACCAAGCCCAGGAACTTGACTTCCTGAGTCTCACACCTGAGACTCACACACTGGAAGGAAAAAACCAACTTGTACGCTTTGTTCTCTCACTTCCACATGTGCATGTGGCATGCAGGTGCCCACATGCACACACATATAAATAAACCAACATACAGCCTTGGTTAAGATTCAAAGCACTGACAGGTGTGGTGATGTACTCCTTAATTCCAGGCACTCAGGAAGGAGAAGTAGGTAGATCTCTTTAAGTTTGAGGCTAATCTGGACTACATAGCAAGTTCTAGGTGAGTTACAGTTAATACAGTAAGACCCTGTGGTTTCAAAAAAACAAAAATATTCAAAGGACACACTCGTGAATTCACAAAAGCTGGGGCTCCTGCAAAAGAAGTGCATAAGATCAAGCCAGTCAGTATTCTAGCATGAGTGGAAGGTGTTCACAAGCCACCATCCCTGAGGCCTACAGACACTGGATGGCTTCTGGGAAAGGGAGAGTCAGTTCTTTAATGATTTGGCTCCTAGTAAGTTGATCATACTCCAGTGAATGGTCCCAGATTCAGGAGTATATGAGCAGCACAAATTTGAGTTAATAGTTATTTGAAAAAAAAAAAAAAGGAGATCACAAAGTTGGAGTGGGTCTGGGAAGAGTTAGGGGAAAAAATGAGGAGTAAATATGAACAAATTTATTGAAGAATAAAATATTTTTTAAAATGTAATACCATGAATTATTTTAGTACTTTAGTTTTGGAGAAAATGCTATTTTTTTCATAAAATTTGTTTTATTTAGCAACAACAAGATTCAGAACACACAAAGCTTGACCAGATTCTGAAACTCAGCTTGGACAAATCATCTAAACTATTCAAACTTCGTTTTTCAGCAGGCTTGATGGTGTGTGCCTAGAATACCAGCACTCAGAAAGCTAAAGAAGAATGAGCACAAAGTCTGGCTTGGACTACATAGTAAGACCTTGTCACAAACCAACAGACAAACACTATTTAGTTTTCCTCATAGTAAAAGAAATTAACTAGACACTGCCTCAGTGATTGCTTTGTTTGCTTTTTGAGAGAAGGCCTCACCCTGTAGACTGATCTAGCTTCAAACTTATAGGAACCCCCCAGCTTACCTCTCACCTGCTAGGATGACCAGTGTGAACCACCATGCCCTGTTTAAGGAGCTATTTTTATTTCTGCTGCTAGCACATCAGAGAAGAGTAATATGCCCACAAGAACATGAACACGAGGAAATCAGTTATCACCTGAAAATTAATAGGTCATAATAATTCTCTTTGGGAATCTACAAATGGATAAGTTTGAGACACTCAAAATTTTAATCAATACAACCTCTTTATTATTATTATTATTATTATTTTTTTTTTGTCTTTTTGAGACAGGGTCTCCCTGTAGCACCACCAAGGCCTGGAACTCACTATGTCAACCAGGATGGCCTCAAACTCAGAGATATCTAGCCTCTACAGCCTCTTTTTTAAAGATCTATTTTTATTTTATGTATATAAATGTTTGCCTGCATGTATGTATATGAACCACATGCATACGGTGACTGCAGAAGCCAGAAGAGGGCACTGTATCCCCTGGAACTTGAGTTACTGATGGTTGTAAGCTGTCATGGGGGGTGCTAGAAACCAGACCTAGAGCCTATGCAGGAGCAGCCAGCGCTCTTAACTCTAAGTCATGTCTCCAGTCCCTAATCAAAACAATCTTAAGCATTTAATAAAGAATCAGGTGTGGATGGAACTCAGAAGTCTATATTCCTCAATAACCTACTTAAAAAAAATACCAGAGAGGGGATGGAGAGATGACTCAGCAGTTAAGAACATTGGTTGTTATTGAAGTAGACCCGGGTTCGAATCTCAGGACCCACAGGGCAGTTAACAACTGTCCATAACTCCAGTTCCAAGGGATCCAATAGCCTCTTCTGTACTCCATGGGTACTGCATGACATGGGTGCACTTACCAACAAACAGGCAATACATGCATACACATAAAAAATAAAAATAATAAACAAAATGTTAAAAAAAACAAAGAAACAAAAGGAGGAATTATTAATCTAAATAACAGGGGGAAACTAAAGATAGAGAGGATGATTGTAGCACATATGTAAGCACCATATAGTATACATGTGCCCTATGGATAGCATAAGCAACTAAGCACTGAAGAAAGACATGGGTGGTTAACAGAGCCTGATCCAACCAAAGTGCTAATATGCATCAAAATGATTTTAGAGTGGCTGAAGATGTAGTTACTTGCCTAGCACGCATGAAGCCCAGATTCGAGTCCCAGCACTACATAAAAACTTGGCATTACAGGAGTGCACACCCATAATTGCAACATTTGGGAGGTGTAGGCAAGGGGATCAGAAGTCATCCTCATCTACATAACAAGTTCGATGCCAGCCAAGAATTTTTGAGAAGCTATCTCAAAACAAAACAAAAACAAAAGCAAAACAAACAAAAACACCAAAAAACATTTGTGGTGCATTCCTTTGATCCTAGCACTCAGGAGGCAGAGGCAGGCAGATCTCTGTGAGATCAAAGCCATCCTGGTCTACATATTGAGTTCCAAGACAGCTGGGGCTACAGAGAGACCCTGTCTCAAAAAAGGCCAAAATAAATAAATAAATAAACAAACAAACAAACAAACAAATAAAAATTGTTAAGCTTTGAAAGGCACAATCTCAAATCTATTCAATCAGAATTTCAGGAGACAGAGCCCAGGAAGAAAGGCATTTAAAGGCTGAATAGAGGATTCTGATTCTGACAATGTAGTTTCATTTGGGAATTATGGTACTAAGCATTAGAATAACTTCTCTTTATTCTGATTCCATGCTCAGGCAAGCAAAGAATCTCTACAGGAAAATATTTACCAACATAAGAATTGAAGGCATTTAAAAATTAAAATCATTTTATTTTTACATTTATCTATTTATTTTGTGAGTTTATATGTTTCTATATGTGTGTGGGTGATCGCATGCCATGGCAGACATATAGAGGTCAGAGGACAAGTTACAGCAATCAGTTCTTTCTACCAAGTGGGTTCTGGTTATCAAACTCAGGTTGTAAGGCTCTGTGGCCAGTACCTTTACCCATTGAGCTACCCACTGACCACGAATTATAATTCTTACTATAAATGATTTAAACTGATGATCTTTTATACATGATTGTGGCTACAGTGATCTTGATCCTGGGGAAAATCATGTAACCTGCAAAATTTTGGCCGCTAGGCTAACAAAAATGAGTAAAAAGACAGTGGACAATGAATTGTTTGCTAAAAGGAGATGACACTTAAAAGTGAGACTTTTTGGCATCTTTTTATTCATCTAAACACTGTACTTTAGTATTTCAAATTATACAGCAGTAAGGATAAAATGAGGCAAAAAAAATCAAACAGTTTTCAAAGCTTAGTGTTATTCAAATGCTAGGTAACAGTAGCAGCTACAAATATTTAACAATCCTTTGGAATAATGAAAATATCCTTAAAAAATAAAACACTATGGAATGTTTTTAAATTCAAAATAGATATATAACAATCATAAAGCACACATCACTGGTTAAAAAGCCCAATATCTCACTGAAACAATGTGAGAGACTGGTCAGTCACTGCAGAATGACAAATGATCCCTGTAAGTTGAATGCTTAGAAGACAAAAGCATCATTTGAGGAACCAGAGCTTCACTTTAAGGATATGAAATCAAACACTATGACTGTCAGCTAGAGAATGTCCAAGCCTTATGAGTAAATTAATTCATTTGAACATATTTCCATCATGGATTATCTGCTTTCTAAAACAGAGCAGTACTAAGGAAGTCTTTTCCAGTCTGTACTATTTTTACTCCTAGAGCCTTAAAACAAGCAAAATAACCTAAATATGTTTGGTTAACTTTCACAGGAGTCAAGGGGATCTATTTCCAAGTCTCTGGGCTTTTTCTCAAGTTCTATCTAACAATCTATACTCTTGTAACAGATAGAAACCAAGGATTCAAGTTGCCTTCCACATCTCTCAGTAACTTTTACTGGGCTAAAATCAAATTCCATCTTAAAACATTTTGCACATTTCACCAAAAATACACCATACAGAATGCACAATGTGGCAATCTTTTAAACTTTGAATTTTTTGTTTTCTCTCACACATACAGGTCATTTTCACATTAAAGACTTTAATTACTACACAGAAGATAAAATAATGGGTTACAAAGATATCCTACTCTTAAGTTTACAATATAATTACAAACTCCTTGTTAAAATGATAAATGTAAAGAAGGCTTCTTTATTTTTGTAACTTCTCCTGGTAAGAGGCTAATGTTTACCAAACTATTTTTTATGTTCCATTCAATGTTACTGAAATCAATAGGTAAAGTAGCTGGCAACAAAGGTGAATTAATGAAGAATGAAAAAAGAAAAAAATAATTCCTCTCAATGTCTGTAAACATTGTGCCTGGGTCCATTAGACTGAGTAACACAAATTCTAGGAAGCCCACGTCTCACATACAAATAGGTAATCTTTGGACAGTTGCATATTGCTTACCTTAAAACAAGAAGCTCGATACAGCAGTTGTACAACATGACCAATACTTGTTTTTGATGCCTGAGGAAATCTTGGTTCTAGTCTTTGCACAACAAAAAGTACCAGAACTTTCCTTGAGAGGGCAGAACCATCTTCTAATGCCAGCAATACCAACTTCAAGGCTTCTTCTTGCATAGCTAGAAAAAGTAACAGAAAATAAATTATGCCTGTCAAAATTATATTTGGCTATCAACTTATGATGACTCACTACACATAATCTCTATCTAATTAGCACAAAAAGAGGAGAGGTTATCACACACACGCAAAAGCAATTTATTTAACAAGTAATCAAGGGCCAGCAAGATGGCTCAACATATCAAGTCTAGTGACTTGGATTCAATCCCTAGAAGCCAGGTAAAGGAGGAAGGAGAGAAGACTCCACAAAATTGTCCTCTGACCTCTACATGTGTGCTATAGCACATACTGCCCCCCTGCCCCCACCCTCAGACACACTCACAGGTACATACACACATAGGTACATACACACACATCACATACATACACATATACATATACACACAATAATAAAGAAAATTTTCAAAAATTAATCAAGCAAAAGCAAGCATACTTCCTACTAAATAACCAATCAGAACAAAATTAAACAACTTTAATAAAGTATCTTCTGTAAATACAAAATTAAAAAAAATGTTAAGGGGACAAAGTAATTCATGGGTTTGAGAGATGGCTTAGCAGTTAAGAGCACTGGCTGCTCTTGTATAAGCCTGGGTTCAAACCCTAGCACCCATATGGTGGCTAACAACCATCCCTAACTCCAGTTCCAGGGAATCTGACACCCCTTTCTGGCCTCCTCAGGAATGGTACAACATGGGTACACTTATATACATGCAGGCAAAACACTCGTACACATTAAAGAAAATTTTTTAAAAAGTTAATTCATAAAACACATAACTACTTTGACAATAATATGAAAAGGATATATAGTAGGCTTATGCACAAAACAGTTACTCTGCCTGTCAGAAAGTTATTTTGTATATAATTTCAAAGAACATTGGCCTTTAGATGTAATATTTAAAGAAGGCATCAACACCACATATTGAGTTTTACAGAGAAATGTAAGTCTCAATCAAATCATGAGAAAACATCAGACAAACCTAAAGTAATACATACTCTATAAAAATAAATGGTCTGGCCGGGTGTGGTGGTGCACGCCTTTAATCCCAGCACTTGGGAGGCAGAGGCAGTTGGATCTCTGTGAGTTCAAGGCCAGCCTGGTCTACATAGTGAGTTCCAGGACAGCTGGGGCTACAGGGAGACCCTGTCTCAAAAAGACAAAAAAAAAAAGGTCTGTATTCTTCGATTAACACCAAAAAAGACCGATGAATGGTTGCAGATAAAAGAATTCTGATGGGCACGGTAGCATGGGCCTGTAATACTTGAGAGGCTAAGGCAAGATTTTGAGTTCAAGGTTGACCTGGGCTACACAAATGAGACACTGTATATAAATAGATACATACATACATAAATACATAAATAAATCTAAAGAGACATGACAAATACAGTTAAGTGATTCTGCCCTAGGTCTTACACCAGAAGAAAACAGATGTCATAAATTCCATTTTGGGAATAGTTGACACTACTGGGATCTAGACTGTAATCCTGTTATTACATAGAACATCATCCCTGCCTGCTTTTAGCAAAGTTGCTAGAGTGCTGAGCGCAAAGAAGGGCATAAAGTATGCAGCCTACTCTCAAATGCCTCAGAAAAGAGAATAATTAACAAATATGGAAAAATATTTCAAAAAATGAATGTGGTTCAAGAATATACAGGGAATTCTCTGAATTACTTTTACAACTTCTTGGTGGATTTAAAATAATTTCAGTGGCCCACAGTGATACACACCTTTAATCCCAGCACTTGGGAGGCAGAGGTAGGTGGACCTCTGTGAGAGCAAGGCCAGCCTGGTCTCCATAGTGATTTCTAGGTCAGCTAGGGCTACAGGGAGACCCTATCTCAAAAAGCCAAAAAAAGAAAGGAAAAAAAAAAGATTTCAAACTATAAAGTTAAAAATGTATGGCTATATATCAAAACAATGGAACTGAGAGATCATTTAGAATCTAGATTCAAAATCAAATCTCCCTTTCCAAAAATGAGACTATTATAACTTAAGAAGTGATTATACCACGGTACCACCTAACAGAAAAATTTGAGCTGATCCAGAAATTTACAAAAAACTGAGGTATAATTCACATGAAATTAACTATTTTAGGGCTGGACAGAGAGCTCAGCAGTTAAGAGTACTCACTGGTTACTCTTTCAGAGGACCCAGGTTTGATTCCCAGCACCCACATGGCAGCCAACAACCATCTGTAACACCAGTTGCAGGGGATCTCACACCCTCTTCTGACCTCTGTAGGCATTGCATGACACAAGTGCACCGACCTACACCCAGGCATTATACTCATACACATAAAATAAAAATAGTATTTTCAAAAATTAATCATTTGCCAAGCATGGTGGCGCATGCCTTTAATCCCAGCACTTGCAGACAGAGGCAGGTGGATCTCTTTGAGTTCAAGGCCAGCTTGGTCTCCATAGTGAGTTCCAGGTCAACTGGAGCTACAGGGAGACTCTGTCTCAAAAAGACCAAAAAATAAAAAAATAAAAAATAAACCATTAAGAAAACAGGGTTGGGGATAAAACTCAGTGTTAGAGTTCTTGCCTAACATATACAAGGCCCTGAATTCTATCCCCAGCACTGCAAAAGGAGGGGGAAAAAAAAAAAAAAAAAAAAAAGGTTTAAATGTAGCCGGTTTCTTGGCTAAAAGTCAAAATGTCCTCATTAACTGTATCTAGTTCACACATTTTTATTAACCCACAAGAAAACCCAATCACTAAGCAATCACTGGCAAGTACCCTTCATCCCTGGCAATCATTCACTTGCCATCAGGCTTCCTTCGCTTATCACAGTATTTTCAAACTTTATCTACAACCAGCATGTATCACTCTACTTATGGATGCAGCACATTGTGTTTTACTTCACCTATTTTTCCTGATAAGATTAATACTCTATTTATGGCTCTATTACATATTTATTTATTCATTTCTTGGTTGACTGAAAAATGTCTTGCTTCCACCTTTTTTATTATATAAATGTCCTACATTCAAGACTATCCACATCATCAAAGACAATGGTTCCAGCTAAAAGAACACTAAGGGCGAGGCATGGTAGCATATGTGAAGGCAACACTGACAGTCTCTGAGCTAGGGTCTAGGTACGCAGCCCAGGCTGGCCTCCAGCTCACCATCCTCGTGAACCTCCTTAGTGCTAGGATTATAAGCATGCACTATCATGACCAGCTTGTGCCCATCTTTTAATTATCATAAAGTGCTGCTATAAATATTTATGTCAAGTATCAGTTTGAATATCTTATTTCTATTATTTAGAAGAGCCAATGAAACTCCTGGGTCATGTTTTTCTTTAGCAGTATTGCCAAACTTTTCATACTGCAAGGCATCATTTTTTATACCCAGATTCTTCATATCCTTATCAATTTGTTATGCTTTTTTTTTTTTTTTTTTTTTTTTTAGGGTCTCCCCGTAGTCCCAGCTGACCTGAACTCTCTATGTAGGGTTATTATTTGTGTGTCACACGGCAGGGGGGGAGGGAGAGAGAGAGAGACTGAGCCTACATGTTAGTAGGAAGTAAAGTCAGGCAGGCCTAAGCAAATATGGGGCAAGCCCTCACAACCAGTGCCTGATTTACCTTTGTAGACTGACCAGGGTTTTTTTGGGGTTTTTTTTGGCCTTTTCGACACAGGGTGTCCCTGTAGCCCCAGCTGTCCTGGAACTCACTATGTAGATCAGGCTGGCCTTGAACTCACAGAGGTCAACCTGCCTCTGCCTCCCAAGTGCTGAGACTAAAGGTGTGCGCCACCACATCCAGCTTGAACAGGGCTTTTACCAGCCTACATGTGCTTGTTGCCAACCTGCCTCTCCTTTGGAGATTAAGTCTCTGATTCACTTTTAAATCAGGTTTTGTCTTCTTGTGGTACAATAAGGAAGATCTGGTATCTACTTTAACACTTAAGGTAATATAAGTAAATATCCAAAAGTAACATCCTTAAAAAATTCATAAAAATGAGGATTTTATACCAGGTATAATCCCATGACTCAGGAGGCAAAAACAGGCAACGCTCTGTGAAATCAAGGCCAGCCTGGTTTACTGGGCAAGTTCTAGCTGGGCCAGCTGGGGCTACAGGGGAGACCCTGTCTCAGAAAAGAGAAATGGGGGCGGAGAGGGAGAGAGAGATGTAAAGAAAGAGGGAGGAGAGGGAGAGGGAGAATTTTAAAGTATATTTAAATTCCAACTTTGTCCTAGGTAAAATTTAAAACACACAAAACACAGGGAAGCACGTAGCTATAATGTACCTGCTGTTAGAAAGGTTTCATCTACTTTTTCACTTTTCTAGTTTATTTTAGCTGGTGTATTTTTGAAGAACATTCAGTATTTTAATAGGTGAGGATTTTAAAAATTTAAATATAAGACCACTGTCGTATCTAACAAAAGCAGTGTATCTCTTTTACTCACCAATCTTCATTTTTCTCACTAGCTCCAAAATGTGTGCTTATAGTTAAATCTAAGTATCCAAATATAGTTCATACCTTTCTTTTAGTAGAGATGTTTTTAAAGTTTAAGAATAAGCAGAGCCAGGCATATTGGTGTATGTCTTTAGTACAGGCTTCAGAAGGCAAGGATGGGTTGATTTTTCTGAGTTCCAGGCAAGTCAGGGCTACATAATTAGACCCTGTCTCAAAATAATTCCAAGCTATACCAGTTCCCAACTACTCTTAAAAGAAAGTTCATTTATTTGCTAAAGAAACCATCATTTTTCAGTCACACACACACACCACCTTTAATTCTATCACCTGGGAGGCAAAGGCAGGTGGATCTCTGTGAGATTGAGGGCAGCCTGGTCTAATAGCAGGTTCCAGGCCAGCTGGGACTAGAGAGAGATCCTGTCTCAAAAATCAAAACAAAAAACCAGAACAACAACAAAAGACAATCCAGTTGGAGAGATGGCTCAACGGTTAAGAGCACTGATTGCTCTTGAAGTGAACCTGGGTCCAGAACCCAGCACTCACATTGTAGCTAATGACCACCTGTAACTCAAGTTC